TACACGAGCCCCCCCCCCCCCCCATCCCACCCGCGCACAGCACGGGGCTCGCAGCGGCTGTGCTCAGCGCGCCGCCGCCGCCGCTTCCCGAAACAGCAGCAGCGACGCCCAACCTCCCCTCGCCAGCGTGTGCGGGGGGGACGGGAGGGGGGACGGGAGCGACGCAAGAGCAGCGCGGCCGGCGGGGTTCGCGGAAGGCCCCGATTGCCCGAAACCGGCCCAGAAGCTTCCCGATTCCCACCCCCCGCGCGGACGGTCCCCCCGGCCGGCTCCCGCCCCGCTGCGCCCCCGCAAGACCCACCCGGTGACAACGCCGTATGGAGACCACGTTAGGCTCAAAGAGAGAAAGAGGGAGGCCGCGGGAAGTGACGTTCATTTATATAGTCCCCTCGGCCAATTAGCGACAGCTACGTAGTCGGAAGTGAGGCAACGGGTTGAAGGTCATCTGGGTCCTAAGGGGCGGGAGGAAGGCCCGGGGACTTAGCAGCGGTCACGTGGGAAAGGCCCTCAGCCGCGGCGTCTGTGCCGGGCAGCAGCCGGCAGGTGGCAGCAGAGCCGCGAGTGCTGAGGATCCCCGGCCTAATGCGGCTGGGGCTGGGCTGGGCTGGGCGAGCCCGGAGCGGGCCGGGCTTTGGGCCTTGCTTAGGGAGGGCTGTGAGCCAGGCGTGCCCGGGGCGCTAAGCTGTAGGAGGGCTCTGGGGGCAGGGTGAGGCAGGGCCTGGGATGGGGCCTTGAGCAAACACGTGGCCATCTCTTCTCTAGTGTAAATCACCCCCCATCCCTCCTCCCACACTGCTGCGAGCTCCCACCATATTATCCCCAAGCCCCAGCTGCTGGAGTCCTTCGTTCTGCCCAGACCCTCAGCTTTCACACCCCATACCAGTAAGGGTCCCAGCCCTCCTGGTTGCGGAGAAGAGCTTGTAAACATGAAGCAACTGCACCCTAACAGCTCAGAAACCGCTACTAGGCAAATGAACCCGACCGATGATTTGTGAATTATTTGCGATTAGCAGTCCTGCTGTCTGCATTGATTGCTGCAGTGCTGAAGTGCTGCGCATGGGTAATCATAGGGAGGGCCTACCAAATTCATGGTCCACCTTAGTCAATTTCATGGCCAGAGGGTTTTTTAATTGGTCAATTTCATGATTTCAGAGGTTTACATTTAAAATATCAAGGTTTGTAATGGGGTGGGGGTGGGGGTGGGGGTGGGGGAGGGGTCCCGACCTGAAAGGGTATCATGGGGCAGGGATGTCACAGGATTGCCACCCTCTTCTGTACTGCCTTCAGGGCTGGGCTCTGAAGGCAACAGCCATGGAACTTCCTGCAGCTGGAGGAGGTTCCCAGAGGTGGAGGGGGGCCCGATCTGCCCTGCTGCGGGGAGTGCCCCAGGCGGGGGCTCCTAGCTGCTAGTCCCAGTGAATGGCAGATTAACGTATGGGCCCACAGGGCTTGGGCCCAGGGGCCTGGCCAATTTGGGGGGGCCCCCAGAAAAATGGGCACCCAGATCCCGGGCAGAAGCCCAGAGCCTACCCACCCTAATCCCCGGCTCCAGCCACAGGGTGCAGAAGCCCCAAGCCCAGGTGTCCTGAGCCCCAGCTAGAGCCACGGGGAGCAGAAGCCCCAAACCCAGGCTGGACTATGGGGCTGAAGCCCCAAGACCCAGTTGGAGCCACGGTGTGGAAGCCCCGAGCCCAACTCCAGGGCTGCTGCACTGGAAGTGGGTCTGATCTCCCCACTGAGAGCAGCCGTGCAGGGGAAGGATAAGTTTTGTCCCTCCACAGCCCAGCTCAGACTAGTTGCTAGGAGCTCCTGGTTGGGGCGCTCCCAGCAGCATGGGGATATGGATTTCATGAGGAAGGGCTTATTTCATCGTCCGTGAAATTGATAGGGCCCGATATAGAACTGAAGGGCTGGAAGGGACTGAGGCAGGACTGAGTACACCTAGACCATCCCTAACAGGTGTTTGTCCAACCGGGCCCCCTCAGTTGGCCAGGGCCCCGGGGCACGGCCCCCATAGCTAAAGGATTGGCTAGGGAAATGAGACTCTGGAGTTCAAATAGCCCCACAGCTCTGTGCAATACCTACTACCTGTGATGTGTATGCAGGTAGAGATGTATAATTTTGTGTAACCAGAGGTTATTCCATAGTAATTTACAAATCCTTTCATAATCTTCACAGCAGTATTAAGTATAATGTTCTGATATTAAGGAGTTTATAAAAGTAGATATAGGCATTGTACAATACACAAAAGGAAAGGCCCTGATTTGAAGCACTTAAGACCTAACCCCCTCCCCATATATATAGAAATGAGGACACAATGAGACAATGGGTGAAAATATATTACAGCAATTGGGGAAGAGTTTAAGATGTTACTGCCTTTTTCCCTGCTCCTAGTCTGTGTTTTCTGTTTTTGATTGTAAACTCTTCAAGGCTGGGATCTGTCTTACAATGCTTGTACTGACAAGCAGCCTTTAGGGCGGTATAAAAATAATGGTTTTATAATTCACACAGCGAGCATAGAGTAGTTGAATCCTGCAACAGCCTTGCTTTTACTGTGCCAGTTAGATGTTGTCCTTCTCCTTAGCCCTTCTATCACAGGTGTTGGTTTTAGATGCACACAGCCCGAGGCCAGGGACATTAGAATGATCTTTCCATAGCCTGAAGGTGACTTTGTGCTTCGGAATTACCTTGACCTGCCACTTTTTCCTCTGGTCTATTTCTATATTAGGCAAGGGTTTTGAACCTCAAAAAGCAGCAACTGTGTGTAGCAGATAAGAGTCCAGCTGTTGACTCCACCCCATGATCCTTCTGATCCACGGCTGATGCTGAGCCCTACAAAAATCTCTTTCTTTTGTGACAGCACTAGCAGAGCTAGGTTAGTAGAGCACATTGTGTGGAGATGGGGAGGTAGGCCTAGGGTAACCAGACAGCAAATGTGAAAAATCAGGATGGGGTGGGGGGGGTAATAGGAGCCTATATAAGAAAAAGACCCAAAAATCAGTACTGTCCCTATAAAATCAGGACATCTGGTCACCCTAGGTAGGGCTGGAACCACTTTCAAGGGCCTAACGTAGGCAGAATCTAGAATCAATGGGGCTCTCTTGTAGATCAATCTCTGATAATTTTCATATGACTTTACATTGTGCCTCTTCATATAAACTTGTGGTGGGTCTACCCACTTGTGACCTCTGTTTTCATGGAACTTTGTATCAAAGCCTCATTTAGAAACTTTGCATTGCCCTTGGTATAATATTATAGCCCCTCAGGATAGAATAAGATAGAAGAAAATTTTCTTTTTGCTAGCAGTAGAACAAGAGCTCTCCCCCACCCACTCTTAATCAATTGCCCTGTTGAATGAATGAGGTGTGGATGAGCAAGGCATGGAAGGCAGCACCTCCAGACAGCCTCAACCCTTGGAGAGGGGCTGGGAGCCAGACCCAAGGACAATAAAACGTGTCAAGTGGGCTCATTAAAGACAAGCAGACATACTGACGGCCTCGGGGGTTAGAAGCAAGCACCTTCTTTTGGAAACACCCTCTTTGCAGCATTGGGACAACACTCAAAAGAAAGCAGCACAAAGGACCAATGGACACAGACACAGAGTTTGAATCTGGTATAGATTTGCATAAGAGGAAAGCTGCTATAAAAGTGAGGTGTCTTGCAGAGGACCCCGGGTCTCGTCTTGTCAACATGGGAGCATCGATCCGGATTGGCAACATGGGAGCATCGATCCGGATCGGATCG